ATACAATATTTCCATTAACAGGCGAAATAGTGCTTGATGTCTAAGAAATATATTCTTGGCTTATTTTCTTTAGGCGGCAGCTTCGGATCGAAGGATGAAATTCACTTTAATTTAGAGCATAAACTGATCAAAATTATACTTTGACAGAGGATAAAAATGCGGATTAATAAACTGAGGGGTAGTGTGTTCGAGTCCCACGGCCAGTAGAAATTTCCTTTATTTTATTTTTTTTTTAATTCATTCAATTATTACCTTTTTGTAATTATAGATGTTGTGAACTTTTTAATAAAATTAAATCCAAAAACTTCAGACAACTATTAATAAAATAAAATAAAAAATAAAACTAAATTAAATTAAATCCAATTAAACTAAATTATTTTTTATTTGTGTTTGGCCGTTAATTGAGGATTATATTAATTTTTTGAGCTTAAGGTCGGGTTGGAATAAAACAATGTTATAGTATAAAATAAAATAACATCAAATAAAATAAAATAAATTAAAACAAAATAAAATAAAATAACATAAAATAAAATAAAATGAAATAAAATAAAAAAAATAAAATAAAATAAAATAAAATAAAATAAAATAAAATAAAATAAAATAAAATAAAATAAAATAAAATAAAATAAAATAAAATAAAATAAAGTAATATAAGGTATATAAAGTTATATAGCTTTGTTTGCTAACATTCACAATGGACAACAGTTGGCCATACCTAAAAAAAGCGTCTGCGTTGTCTGGCTGTCAAAAAATTCTCATGCCCATACAATTTGTATGAAGCATACCGAAACAACGCGGCGTCAACGCTGAACGGTTGGAAACTCCGATTTTGACGGGGTGTTAGGTGATGAAGTTGGCTGCAGAAAACGGCGAAACTGTCATTTTCGTATTTCATACAAACAAACCTATGCCTATGGCTTTTGCTATTTCTGCATCATGAAAAATTTAAAGAAGGAGCAGGCGTGCCAGTGGTGGATATCATGTCTGACTCACATGGTTTTCATAGTAGATACACTCGGAGGTTTCCCATGCCCTGTCCAGGGGCGACCGCTATTTAAAAAAGCAGTTTGGTATTTTTTGATGTTGGGTTGAACCGGGATTGAACACAGGCCCTTCGGAATTGTAGCGTGCAAACCACTACACCACAGCGGCCGCTTTAGATCTTCAGTAAAAATCCTTACCAACGTTCCAACGATAACGAGTTCTCTTTGCAAAATCTGCTGCTTTATTAAGCAGTGATAGTAAACTTACCATTTTTCTGCAGCCGAAGTGGTGCAAACACCAGGAGACACGCTTCTAACCAGCAGGAGTGGCGCAGGTGGAACCCCTGGACCTTATTATTTATTTAATATCCAACCTTGCCATTAAAATTTATTTACGTCATTTCAAGGCCTTGTGGAAATCCTGTATAATAGTTTTTTTAATAACTATGTATTAAGGCGAAATTTACGATAATGTCAATAATTTTTTATTTTTATTTTATTTTATTCATTTTCAATTCAATTCAATTCGTTAAGTCGATAATATATAACATGGTCACGCAATTGAAAATTTTTCTGCGGGCAAATTGCAATCTTTCAAGGTTAAGCTCATTGTATATATCTAATTTTTTAAAACTTAACTATAAACTTATAAACAACATTAAATTTTATTCATATAAATAGCTGTATTTTGTTATAAATTATGTGTACACATGTATGTATAATAAATTTAATATTTATCAAAAACATTTAAAGGCTTCTTTTAACAAAAACATAATGCCGAATTTCCACTAAGTATTGATAAGACAAAAACTATGTGCCATTCAAAATAGGCAATGTAAATGCAATTAAAGTAATGGCACATGTATGCCTTAATGCCGAATTTTCCCTCTTTAATGCCCAGTGGAAACTGGCATAGTACTTAAAATTGATTATTTATTATATTTCTATAAGTAATCATCCGTTAGTTATTTATTTAAGACAGCTTCTTGTGATTGACGTTATTGACATTTATTTAATGCAGATTTGATTGCAACGATATTTTCATGTTTTTAATATAAATAAATAAATCGTCATATTATTCACATGATTCAATGAAATAGCAAATATATATTTATGTACATATTTTTATTGGCTTTTTCAAAATACCCGCATTTTTTATTTTTAATTGATTCGAAAGCATTTTTAAATGCATTGGATTTCTTTAAAACTGTTGTTAACATGCATTTTGGAATTTTCGTTATATTTATTGACATATGTATGTATGTAAATTCATATAAACATTTATATTATTATTATAAAGCTCCAACTATTATAAAATGTATTAGATCGTTTTATGCATTGGACATAACCAAAAATATAAATGGGCATTGTTTTTAAGGTTTCGGCAACAACAGTATGCCGAAAAAGTAAGCGTTTTTTATTTACTTAAATGCACAGTATTCAGTAAGCATAGCTGCTTGTTTGTGTATTTGAATAAACTTTAAACCACACTTACATTTGTATGTATCTAAAAAATATAGAGTAAAAGTTGTATCGTACAGTTAGTTAAATTTTTTTTCATTCCCTTTTCGTATTTGTCGGTACATTTATTTTTATCAAAAGCTAAATACTACATACATATGTCTATTTACAGTCAGCTTCAAAAATATGAATACCCTGACGTTTTGACGATTTTATTTATTTATATTTTCCATACCAAATTTTTCTTATTTTTTTTAATAAATATAAAAATATAGGTCATTCAACAGCCAACACCAGCAGAATCAATTTTTTCGATTCCATCAATTTAAGCAATATTAACAAATTTGAATCGAAATCAAAGGTGCAAGTTTCAAGTCTCCAAAAATTACCGTTGATTTTTGAGATTTTTTTTACAAGGGCATTGCGCATTTTCTACCGTATAACGTAAGAACAAAATCTATTTTGATACCTGCACCTTATTAAAATATAATGGGCTACAAAACTGTATACTCTGAATTTTTTTAAGAAAGCGATTTGAAAATTTTTTGGGTTTTCTTCAACTTTCCCTAGTTTTATATGGAATTAAAAAAAAAAATACTCTGCTGGCTTTTTCTTTTACTTTTATAAAAAAAAAAAGAAAAATTTGGTATGGAAAATATTTCATATTTTTGACGCTGACTGTATATATTAAATCGGCTATCGTCAATTAAGAATAATTTATGTAAAAACTTTCATTTAAATAAAACGGACAGCCATTAAAATTCATCGTAGTTATTAATGCAAAACGGGCCAATCTAAAGCTGCCTTTACATGAGGTGATTTTTTGACTGGCGAAAACATATTGCACGCAGCAACACCGACTTGACTTGTCAGCATTTTTACAGAATGTAAAATTCCTAGTGCAGCACAAGCGAAATGTTGGTACTGGTAAGCGGTATTTCATTTTAAAATTTTCTGCGTTAAGAAACTGCTTTCATTGCAACGTCTGACCGTACTTTAAAGATCGTAAAATAACCATAGTGCAATGATTAACAAAAAAATAAGAAAACAATTTTGCTAGCTATATTTATTTTTTTCTCGATTACATTTTATTTTTATTTTGGGATTTATATTTTTTCTTGAATACTAAAAATCATAATTTAACCCCTAAAATTAGATTTCTACTCAGATTTCAGATCAAATTTAAATGTTATCTGATGATTTTTAGTTTAGAAATTGCTCTAAAAAATAAAAATCTTGGTACGTAATGGTTATTTTCCTGTATGCATGCATTCATGGGCCACAAGTAATCGCTAATTTGAATTGTGGTTCCTTCGATAATTTTTAATAGAAATAATTAAGATAAATTTTTCCGATAATATTTGTATTCTAATGACTGCCCTGTGATGCTTCAGAAGCGAAAATTTATATCTCAAAATAACGGTTATAATTAAAAAAAAATGCATAAGTATTTTTTTCTTTTCGATAATATTTGCATTCTGATGACTGATTTAAATATGATCCTACACGGTCGAAAACTTATATCTCAAAATAAATGCAAAATAAGGATTTTTAGATCACAAAATAACGATATTACTAATTTTTCTTCAGGTCATAAAAATCGATTTTTTATTTCCATTTTAGTCGATTATAAAT